CGCGCTTGATGCAGGAGCAGGTTGCTTTCAGGGCGGCCTGGATTCGCTGCGTGGCGGCGATGCGGGACGCGGTCTTCCCCATGGGCCATAGTAAGAAGAACCATTGCTGCCATTGAGCCCCCTTGGCAATGGAAAGACCCGTTTAGGGAATACTTACTACCTGCTCCCCCAAGAGGCCCCGTCTGAAAGTGCCCTTTTCTATTTGGAAGCCGCCTCGGGATCTGTTGCGGGTTGGCAGCAGCGCATCCAAGCAGAATTTGAAGGATTTCTTCGAGCAACAGATTTGAAGATAACATGCTGCCCTTCACTTTTGTGGGAAAGGCCTGGAATATGGGGCAGACCTGACCGTCATGCATCGGGAGATCAAGAAATTCCGTAGACAGAAAAGGTGCGGACACGCTGCCCTGCTCGAAAGGATTGCGGTTGGTGCTCTATGGCAAGCTTCCTGTCTGTTTGCCGACGAGCCTGATAAGCAAGGCTGTCCCCATAGTCGCGAAGCCAGACGCCTGCCTCTGCCAGTTGAAACACTTCAACACCAGCAGCGTGCACGCCCTTGTCTAGAAGCAAGAGAAGGAACTATATGTAAGCGTTTACCCAAAGCGCTGGCAGAATATGACGACTGGCCGTGTTTGGGGAGCGCCTCGTGCCCATGATTTGAATCTACCCCAGCATCGACCACTGGCCCGAGTGGGCCTTCGAAACCAAAGATGATTTACGTGAAGGTGTGAGGCTCCCCGTTCCTCCCAATTCGTTTGTAGGGGCCGACGGTAGCGGTGGCGACGACACAAACGACCCGCGGCTCCGAAGGTGTGGTTGGGGCTTTGGGATCACGTGTGAAGGGGCTGAAGCTTGGGGGCCTGTCCTGGGACGCCAACAGACCGTGCCGCTCGCCGAACGTGAATGCCTTACCCAGGCTTTAAAGCATACCTGTGGCCCTGGGACCTTTATCGCTGATTGTGATTACCTCCTTGTGGCCATCGGAAAGGGCCCAGGAGTGGCCAAGCCGCTGCGTGCTGCTGGTTGGGCCGTTTTTGACATTAGCCTGATTGAAAATCGGTCTGGAGAGATTGATGACAAAAAAGAACCACCTCACTGAGAGCAATATATGTCGGACTGTTGAGGAGGCTGAATTTCGTTGCAACCATTGGCCGACGAGGCGGCCAAGAAGGGGGCACAACTTGCGCCCCTCCCTGTGCAGGCGCTCCAGCAGGTGGCCCGAACTGGTGCGCTCGCCCTTCGGGTGATCACTCACCTTCTGACGGTTGGCTCCGAGGAGGTACGGGCCGCGCAGGCGATCCCCAAGCCCCGAGCCGCCGACCAGGTGGCGGCGCGGCGCACAGCAGCAGGCGATCGAGCCGCTGCTGCAGCTCAGGCGGTTTTCTCCCCTTCGCACCGCCTCGCCCCAGAAGCAGGGGGCGGGGTCCAACGTGTTTGTGTGCCTCACGAGCCTGGCTCGCGCCTCCCCAGGGCGCAGCGGCTTGCCCAGCAGTGCAGAGGCCTTCCCCACCAGATCCACCCGTCCAATCGGAGTCGGTGCCTGCGGGGGCTTTGGCGGTGTGAGCGGCGTGGTGGTTCGGGGACCCGCCGCTGCCAAAGCCTGAGGAAGCCCTGCCAGCGGCCGACCGCGGCAGGGGCAAAGGCCCGTGACCGCCTGAGTCGGAGGGCCCTCCCTCCCAAGGAGGAGCACCTGGCCTGACGAGTCGGGGGAGGTCGGACGAGCTCCTGCTTTCCTCCTGCTTGGCTGCGGGCCGTTGCTCGAATATAGACGTGCCTCCGCTGATGCTCTGCCAGGAGGAGGAGGAGGAGGAGGACGAGGAGGAGGAGGAGGAGGAGGAGGAGGAGGAGGAGGAGGAGGGGGAGGAGGAGGAGGAGGAGGACGAGGAGGAGGAGGAGGAGGAGAAGGGGGAGGGGAGGAGGAGGAGGAGGAGGAGGAGGAGGAGGAGGAGGAGGAGGAGGACGAGGGGGGGCAAGAGGATGAGGGGGGGGGGCAGGAGGAGGGCGAGAGGGAGCTGGCCGGCGGCGCGCACAGCGGTGGCGGCGCGGGCTCCTCGAAGGGCGGGGGCCTTCCGAGGCGGGGTCCCCCCCGGCCCTGTGGGGAGGCTCTTTCCGGGGAGGCTCCCTGCCTCTTGCCGTCGCTCGGACGTCCATTTCCCGTGTATGTTTCGGTTTCGTGCGTGTTTTTTCTGCTCGATGGTCCAGGATGGTCCTCGAGGGTTCTCGCCGAGAAAAAATGCACGCGCCCGAGCGATGCCGAGGCCTTCTCGAGAGCCCCCCCCCCGCCTTGTCAGAAGGCCGCCGGGGCGGCCCGCCGAGGTGGGGGGAGGGGGGGGGAGGCTTCTCGCAGGGCGGGTGCCTTCCGAGGCGGGGCCCCCCCCCGCCCTCAAGAGGCTCCTCCTGGGGAGGCTCCCTGCCTTCTCGAGGGTCCCCCCCGCCATCTCAGAAGGCCGACCCCTCGCGCTACACCCTCGGCACGTGGGGGGGGGGGGGGCGGAAGCCTTCCGAGTGGGGCGCTCTGGGGAGGCTCCCTGCCTCCTCGAGAGCCCCCCCCCCGCCTTTTCAGAATCAGGAGAAGTCCAGAAGGAGTAAGCCCAGACGAAGACCGAGCACTCCGTGTGGACCTACCCCGTATGGACTCAGCCTCCGATCAGGAGAGGATAAGTCCAGACGAAGGAAGCCCAGACGGAGAGCGAGCACGCCGTATGGACTTACTTCGAGTGGACGTAGCATCCTCCGACAAGAGCTCCCCCGCCGTCTCAAAGGCCGCCCTCCTCGCGATAGCCCCTCGTGCGCGCCAGGAACGATGGCACGAGCAGGCAGGACCAGAAGCGGGAGGGGCAGGGGAGGAGCAGCGGGCAGATGACGAATGTAAGCGCGAGGGTGAGAATGGGAATGAGACTGATGATGGTGGTGCTGACGATGAAGGGACGGTGATAAATGTGATGGAGATGTCGAAGATGATGGAGGGGATGATGGTGACGACGATTGTGCTGTCAACGTTAGCGATGATGAAGAGGAGGAGAAGTGAGGAGGATGGTGATGGTGATGGTGATGGTGATGTGATGGTGATGGTGATGGTGATGGTGTGATGGTGATGGTGATGGTGATGGTGATGGTGATGGTGATGGTGATGGTGATGGTGATGGTGATGGTGATGGTGATGGTGATGGTGATGGTGATGGTGATGGTGATGGTGATGGTGATGGTGATGGTGATGGTGAGGGTGAGGATGAGGGTGAGGGTGAGGGTGAGGGTGAGGGTGAGGGTGAGGGTGAGGGTGATGGTGATGGTGATGGTGATGGCGATGGTGATGGTGATGGTGATGGTGATGATAAGGATGATGCTTATGATGATGGTGGTGATGCTGATGATGATTGTGATGGAGGTGGTGATGATGCTGGTGGTGATGATGATGATGCTGATGACGATGATGATGATGATGGTGATGATGATGATGATGATGATGATGATGATGATGATGATGGTGGTGGTGGTGATGATGATGATGGTGGTGATGATGACGAGGAGGAGGAGGGCAATAATTAGTGATGATGGTTCTGGTGGCGGCGATGATGAAGAAAGACGTTATGGAGAGGAAAATTACGCTGGCGAGGAAGGAGACCTCTGCCGACACATGTGCTGTCTGGCTCTCCACGTGCCTGTGAGGTCTGCAGGTCAGGACTTCGAGCTGTCGCCAGGGATATCGGAGGTAGCCTTCGATTCTCCTGCGGCGGCGGCCGAACACCTGCCCCCAGGAAGGCGCAGGAGTGCCAGTGCGCGGTGCGCTCTTTACTGCTACAGCGTGCAGCCGCGGCTGCC